GTGTGTGTGTGTGTGTGTGTGTGTGTGTGTGTGTGTGTGGTGAGCCATCAAACAGATTACTTTATCCGCTTAAGTTTAATTTTCGATAACTTTATTATCCCTCGATCTCTTTCCTTCGACTTAAAAGTTCCCAATGTGTGTCTTTTGTGTGTATTTCTCTCTCATGACTCCTTCTCCCTCACGTTTAAAACAAATGTAACAATAGTGGGGCTTTGATCGCTGAATTTCTAAGGATGAATAGACGATAAACTTGGCGGGGATTGTCTTGGAGAATGAGAGAAGGTGAAGCCACACAGACAGGAGAAATGTGTTCAATTACAGCGAGAGACAATCAGACGAATGGCCGTGTTAGAGCGCTGCACTCTCAACACAATGGAGATCATATCCCCCGTCATGTAACTCTAATATTCTTAGATTTGAAAAATAGTATAGAAATACAATTTAAATGTGGCCAAACTTTATATAACCATGCATCTGACAAGTCTAGTTCAGTAGCTGAAAAAGATGAGCAACAATCAGGGTTTGGGATTACATGTAACATGAGTAGAGGTAACTGTATTCCCTTTCAGTTACATTTAACCCTTAGATGCCCTGAGAGTGACTGGACCCTACACTTATTAGAATAAGTGTGTTTTTATGCCATTTTTGTCATTTTGGTTGAGAAAAATCACTTGTATAATATTTAGTATTATATTTTGGTTCACACTAGAAATATTTTATATTTAATATTTCACTATTTATAATTTCAGAACTTTTTTTTTACATTTTGAAAAAAAACGTTTTGAACATATTGATGCAAAGATCTGCTATTCTGAGACCCTCACAGTATTCCAGTCCCTTTTCAAAACTCATGTCTTCTCCTCTTGTCTACTCATATCCCACCCCCCGTCAATCCATGCCGGTTGATCAAGTGTGATAGTCCTATACCCCCCACCCTAACCTTCCCTTATATTGTAAAGCGATTTTGAGTCCTTGAAAAGCCCGATAAAAATATAATGTATTACTACTATTATTATTATTATTATTATACTGACAGATATCAGATCTTGCTGTGTAAAATAATCTTCCTGAGAGGTGTCACTTGTGATGTAGTCTGTGTGGTCTACAGTGAATGTATTCCTGACAGCCAGGTGATAAGAATCAAAGGTTCCCATAGGATTCCATAGAAAATGCATGCGGGTCATTTTTGACCCACTTATGGAAGCTTGGGGTAGTAATACAAAAACTACAATTTCTTAAAATGTATACAATTTAAATTAAACATTTTAATGGCATGATATCCAAAACATGTTTTTTGAGGAATAGCTGGAATATGAAATGATAACACTTTTTATTTACAAAGATACTTCAAGAAAACCACCTCACCGGGTCAAAAAAGACCCACTTATCTAAGGGTTGAATACATCTGTATTATTACTTACATACTTTGACATTTTTTTTGTAATGCCCTCTTTGAGTGACTCACTATGACGTACTTTACTATACATTCATTATGTACTACATTACTATTGACTCTTTCATAAAATGTTGTATTTGTATTGTATTTCATTTTAGCCATTGACTTTGATAAGTCATTTGATCAATTTTCCACATTTTCTTTATAACTAATTTAGCTCCAAAACTATTTAGGCATTACAGCCCATAATAAGAGCACATCTCTGAAGCCTTTCACAGCCTTTCCCAGATACGTTTGAAAGTTTTAATAAACAAGGAGTCGCTGTTGTCCTAAGTTTACAGCATTAGAAGTTATTTATTTTCAAAAATATCATGAAGTAAAATGCACACAGAGAGATAAAGTGCTCCTTTAAACAGAGTAAAACAAGACGGATTACTGTGATAACCACTTTATTCATTGAAAGTTGGAATCAATAAGTAATAAAAGACACACGCAAAATATGAACGATTTGAAAAAGAGAGAAAAAGTGACAAACTGCAGCTGAGTACCAGAAAATAAAATACAAACAAAACAATACATGTTCTGATAAGTGATAGGGCAGAGGAATTCACCTCAATGTCAGTGGGCTTGTAGTCATGCAGTTACCACAAGGGTTTACAAGGCAATTAATTCAAATATTCTATAAGAATCTCAATCCCTTTTTATCTGTGAGAGAACATTGGGTGTTCTGGTAGCAGCAAGAAACTGACCTTTTATGGTACATGTATTTTTCAGTGAAATCAACAATTATAGCTTAAAAACGTGTTATGATATCTGGCACCATAAAATCTTTCACTTCAGTGTCATTCTTGGATGGCTTTAAAAACGCCAGCTTATTAACAAAGGTCGATTCATCCATCTTCAGAGACAGTGTTCCTTGATCTTAAGTAGTGTAAGTGTCCAGGAGTGCAATAGTCAGTCTGTTTATTGGGTGGGTAATGCTGCTCCACTATCCAACAGTCTTTCCATTGGCTGGCCCGAGTGGAATATTTTTGAGCATATCTCACGATTACCCATTTTATTCTACCATATATCTTTACAACATTAGCAGGGCTGATTTACTGTGTCACACAAACTGTATCTATGAGTGTGTTTTCAAATTCTGATATGTTGGCCATGAAGAGCCATGAAGAGTATCCACCATACAGAAGGCATGAGGGTTGATGAAGACTAACCTCAGAGTTCATGGTGAAGAAAACATAAACACTTTTTAGTTAACTATTCCTCTAAAACACATAACATGGATATATCTATGGCACATTTATCAAGGTAAAAAAAAGATCTTAGGCTTCACTCAGTTAAAGGAATACTTCACCCCCCAAATGACCATTTGTATGTTAATTACTTTCTCTGAATTCTTGAAGAAAACTTTGAACATGCCTATAATGTAAAGAAAGGATAAAAAACCGGAAAACATTCTTGATGAATTGTGGGAAAAACCATCTGCTAACATTGTCATTTAGTGGGGGAAGTATTCCTTAAAAGCTCGTATTTGTTTGTAAACTATACGCCACATTGCTGCTTCAACATTCCATGGAATGTATAGCACTATGTTAAATAAAAATCAATCACCAAATAAAACACAAAAGCACTTTCTAAATCATAGAACGTGTAAGACTTGTAGCCTCCTGCTGAGTTAGCCCAGGCTCTCAAAGGCATGGTGTCTGGTGGTAGAGCGGCCACACAGATGGGGAGATGCAGCTGGGGCCAGGCACCTGGTCAAACACTCACTACATTATTTTACAGCTATCTCTGCACAAGAGATGGTAAACACTCTGTCCTGGCTTCACGCCAGACCACTGACAGTAGCCATTTTCAATGCTGACACCACACCATATGACATTTAAAAAACGGATAATGAAAGTCATGAAAATGGCTCCAGAGAAAATTACTTATTTACAGCTGACACACATACATACAGTGCTGCATCATCACACAGGTTTATACTGTAAAACAAAGCTGGTACAGCACGCCTACCATTCACTGATCCCCTCAATGTCATAATTTCACAGGCTTTTCCCAGCACTTGATGACAAATCCTGAAAGTCACCCAGCAGAAGTTCTCATTATTAAAAAAAGATCCTCCAGTCATTGCCTTTTCATGTGAAATTACAAATTATTATTGCAATGTCTAATACTAAATAGTGATCTCTTAAGGTTATTAAATCGTATAAAATGAGCCATAGTCAATGCCTGCCAAGGCCAATAGATGCAACTAAATTATCAGAATTACAAGCAGTGCCCTATGGCTAACATCCAAATCACTTTGATAATGATGTGCATAGTCCTGAAATAATTGTCTAGAAATCTCTACAAAGTGTGTATGCTATTAATGTTAATTCCCAAATCACGCTATGTTAATACAAGGAGTCTGATTTGAATAGGCAACACATAACAGCTCAGCATACTGTCCTAGCTTGGCTGACGCTGTATGTTCCTCATGTTTACAATTGAGAGAAAAAACAGTGACACCTAGTGCTTAGTCTTTCAAACTGATTTAGTTGATCAAGAAATAATAATTCACCACCTTCGATCGACCTAAGAAAGAAGCATCTTTGGTCAGCCATGTACAACGTGTGTTCAGGAAATACTCTGAACCCATGGGATAGAAGACGGCGTAAGACATATAACACATGCAAACTTCAAAACAGCCAAATGTACAACTGTAATGTGTTAAAATCACTTTCTTTCTGCTATAACCGCATGATTTGGTGATGCAGGGCACACCCAGCTCCAATATTTGTGTGGATGGATTCATTGGTTTATCATTTTCACAATACCACTGAGCTAAGGAGGGTCTAGCTCTGAGAAAAGTACTCCAGGACGAGGCGGAGGTGTCCCAAGCGGTCTTTGAGGGAGGCCAGGGACAGGACGGTGGTTTGATAGGCAGGGTCCAGCTGGAGGACGGACAGCAGCCACCAGCACCAGGCCGGCCCGTTGGAAGAAGCCTGGAGGACAGTGACACAGGTGTAGCATAGATAAATGCATAAAGTATAATGCAAGCCAAGTCAAAAACCCACAAGAAAAATATATTTTTGAAAAATACTCAGAATTAATGTCACACATTTAAAACATTGGGAAAAAATGAACCAATTTTACTGAGTAAAGCAATGTGGTTCCTTGACAAAAAGCTTGATTAAAGAAATAAAGAAATTCACACAGAATTGTGTAGTTTTTTTTTTATTATTCTGAGAGAGCATTCTTTTTTTCTTTTCTTAAATGTGATGTTTTTTTCTCTAAATTGTATGACTAATCCTTGAAATTGTGTTTCTAAAAATAATTTTCAATCATGGTTTCACAACTGTGAAGGAATGTATGTTGTGTGCCTTGGCATTTTGAGATGCCTTAAGAGTACTTTACACTTGGTATGATTTATATGTGGAGGCTCTGAATATCACGGTGAATGGTCTGGACCCAGGGCTACACATTGGTGGGCGTTTTATACATGATAATATGATGTGCGACATACTGTCAGAAGCTGAAGGATTGTTTAAAGTGGACCTACCATGCTATATTTTAATAATATTGTAGGGCCACACCTATATAAAACATGTCTGTGAAGTTTTTTTTTCAAAATACCAAATAGATCATGCATTTTAGCCATGCCTCATTTCGCTCTATTTGCTCTTTTCCAGCCCTGTTTTTGCAAGGGCTGATTCTGCTTTTGTGGCAGACTACAGCGCCACTTACAGGCCTGGCATATGTACTGCAGCGTCTCCAGCGCTTTCGAGCGGTCTCTCATTCCCCTGATAGGTGGAGAGTTGCCCATATGTNATTTTGAAATGAGCCGTTGCGACTTCCGACTGATTTCGATAGAGCGGGTCACATATAGGCGGAGCACCCCTTTTCTGACGTCAGAAACATTCAAATAATAATCAGCTCCGTTGCAGCCCCGTTTTTAGAGATTTGGGTACGGAGGAAAAGAGAGAGGGTTCTGTTTTCTGACACTTGGTGAGTTCCCTGACACACCGGGGACATATTCATGTATAAAAGACGTACAAAAGTGCATTTTGCATGATAGGTCCCCTTTAAGTCTGGGTCCAGTTAAACATGCTATGCTAAAGGCTTCTCTGATCAGATGTGTATTGTAATAAACATACTGTATGTTTTCAGTTAAAGATATCTAGAGCTCATCAAGTTATTCTTCTTCCAGATTACAATCTTATCATGCATGCTGTAATGCTTTTTCATTCAACTGGAACTATATCCTGAACATAAAGTCTGTTTTATTGCGTTTTGTTACCACTGTCAGTAAGGGAGCTCTGAATGCAGGAAAGGTATGTGCTGTATAAACATAAAACAATAACTAATAGCTTTGAAAATAAAAGCAGTTATTATTTTCTCGGTGATCAATTTACTTATTAGAAGCGTGTTTGAAATATCATTCCATCGCTAATTAATTAATGGACCATGGATAAAACATAATAAAAAATTTAAAAAAGGTAAGTAGACATGCTAGATAGCGACTGCATGTGTTTGATGATTTTGGAAAGTTATTCGATGCATTAACCTTAGCTAAGTTAAAAATGACTTACAAAGACATAAATAGGTAGAAAAGTCCTACAACAAAAAATATTCTCCACATTGTAATGTTACTCTGGTCTGTAATGAAAGGTAATTCTAGCCGTGGGCAACATGACAAAACATAAGTAAATATTGCTCTGTGGTTCCTGGATGCTGCTAGAAAATAAGATGTTAATCTACAGTAAGAACCATATGTGTGCTAACCTGAATGTTCTCATCCTTCTCTGGCATGGTGCCGTACTGCCTGCTGATCTGATCGCGGATGCGGACAGCCAGGCGCTGGTACCAGTCCTGAGCCTGCTGGTACACACTGTCATGGAGACCCTCCAGAACCTCCAACTCACTGCCTTCGACCTGCGAGAAGGAGGACACAGACAGGAGGAAAAGTGAGAAGAGGTTCAAGTTGTAATATTTTCGGAGTGAAAATTCTTTACATGTTGCTTTAAGTATCATCTCTGGGACCTTCAGGTCCTCCAGGTACTCGATATCAGCAGTGCTGTATCCATCTCGCTGACCTCTCCTCAACACCTTGAACCTGCTTACTCCCACTGCGTCCACAAAGGAGCGTCCATCAGGCAGCACCTCCAGACTGAGGATCTCCAACATGCAGCCAAAGTCTGAAAACCTGGGGCACAGCAGGAAAAACCATAAACTCTCAAATCAATTCACTGGTATTTATTCCTTAATTTGAAGTATCAAAACTAAAAAATAGGTCAGAATAGTTAACACTTTCTTTGAAGACCACATCTGTGGTTCATTATGAAGACATTTATAGTGAATTATGATGCTGTCAAAATAAGCTTTCTGATTCATCATAAAAATGCCAAGTCAAAGCCATTGTTTACGATTGAAGAATTATTAAAACAATTAAAAGTGTTGTAAGTCCTATAATACGCTTTAGTAGTATGGCATTTAAACTGTCAAAGTCATACCCTATTTTATAATTACAGTGTAGTATGTTGAAGGTTAAATGACACATGTCATGCTTTTCCGGTTATTACCCATCCCCTTGTGTGTTATGAAGTTTTTTATGCATGTAAACGGTCTGCAGATTCAAAACCCTCAAAGTACACCCTGTAGCGAGTAAAACTCTAACACAGAAAATACCTCCCCAAAACGCCTCGTTGGTGAAACGTCATCATGACGTCATCGTCATTTGATTAGTTCCGGGTACGTGCTTACGAAAGCACGTACCCGGAACTAAATGGGCCAATCCGTGGAGCCGTTACGTTACGTCCGCGGAGCCGTTACGTTAAGCCCCCGCTGATTGGTCCAAATTGACCAATCCACACACACACTCAGTGCAGGCAGCCCTGCTGATTTCTGCTTCGTGCTGCAGGCTGATAACAGACAGTTGGGATCGCGGCGAAATTCTCTCTGCAGACCCATTCTCACAGCATTTATCAACCTATAAACCTTTTTCTTACTCATTATCAAGCCACACTTATTGTTTTTATTTCGGCTGTGACTATGTGTGTGCTCAGGTTGAGTTTGGCTTTGTATCGCTAAACAAGGAAATCACACCTCCACGGAGCTCAGCGCGATTCACAACGTACCGACCAATCAGAGCACACTGGGCTCACAGGGAGGGGGCGGGGGGGAGCTGCAGCGAGCCTTTAGTGGAGAAAGTGAATACTGCTGAATACACATACTTTACAGAGATGCTGTATGCGAAACCAATGTGAGTTTGGAAAATTGCACAGTATTTTTCTATTTTAGTATACCTCAACAATGGAATTATGATCAGTGGAAATGGCCATGACACCTCTCCTTTAAGAAATGTAACATTAAAATCATAGGCTAGTACGTTGTAAAGAAGTCATTAAAAACTTAGAATCTTAAGCAATAAATTAAGTACTTAAAAAGTCATAGTACAGTATGTCATACAAATGTCATAAAAAATCAAGTATAGTGTGCCATCAGTAAGTGATTAATAATACATAGAATATTATGTCATAAAAATGTTCCTCTCCAGGCAGGGTCATAGTACATAAAAAGGTTCAGAATAACTGAATAAGAATTTTCTATATATATATTTGTTGGTATAATCTCAGCAAAGTAGCTTGTCATTGGCGTTTGGATTAAAATCTGAAAAATGTCATAAATGTAACTGGATTTTTTTTTTTAAAGGGGGGATCCACTAAAATGTTATTAATGAGGCATACTTGCACAAAAAAGTTTAATAAAGTTCCATAATCAATATAATGAGTTAAAGAAGGAGTGTTTGCAAACATTATTTTGCCCATTGTTTGCATATTTTAATATTAGTTGCGATTGGATATGTATTCATAACAGCTGGGAAAATGCAATGGCATGATCAAATACAGTGACAGAACAAGCAAATATCTGATTTCCAGCACCAGATTGGTGACCACGCTGCTTTTTCCCACCCACTCAGGGTCACTTATGACTGATCTAAACTTTGCCGACTGTTCTTCCTGCACGGTGGGCAATCCTATCAGGCTCCGCCTCGCCTGCTGCGAGTTCCACAGTGAGGTACATTTCAAAAATAGTCTCCCAATACCCATACTCTAAATAACTGAACATACCTGTGGAAATGTAAATGCGTTTACCTCACTTGCGTCTAAACTGGCTATATTTTGATGCTGCTTAAGTTAACACACAATTATCTACCCAAATCAACAAAAAAAGAATTAAAAACTTGCATACCCCTTGCCATGCTCATAGCTGCACATGCCAAACTTTTTGGTGCCAGTATCCATGCAGCGACGCATCATCAGCCGGTATCGAGGCTCGAAGATGTGCAGGGGGCAGGGCACGCCGGGGTACGCCACCGTGCACACAAATATAGGGATGTCCTTTGTTAGACTACAGAGGAGGAGACAGAAGAGAAAAGAGAAGTTGGAGGCAGGGAGAAAAAAATTAAGAAGAATAAGGGAGAGGTTTGTGTGACCAAGGCGAGATGGTTGCTAGCGAGTTGCTAGAATGAATCACGGGTGTACATTGTGTGTGTGGTGGACGCCTACTTGGACAGTTCAGCCATCTCCGTTTCATGGACCTGTTTCCTCTCTGCCAGCTGCGAAGGGAAAAGACTGGTCATGATGTCCTGAAGCAGAATCGTGGGGTTGTACTTCCTGTTTTTGAAGTACTGGGAAGAGAAAAGTGAACATAATCAGCCATAATTGCAATTTAATGACGCTCATAACCAATTATACATAATAGTATAGTAACAAATTGTTATCTTTGTACTGCAACAAAGAACAAACCCAAGCATTTAAATATATAGTTTGTGGCAATGAAGTCCTGCAAAGCTATTTAAAATATGGATATAAGATGTTGTTCAAAGCTTTGTATGCAAGTGGATGTATTCAAATGGTGATTAACTAATTAAAAAAAAATAGATCTAAAAATAGATGTATTGAAGGCAACAACAGAGATACAACAACAGAGATACAACAACAGAGATACATGTATCGCAGGGCGTTTTTATGGAGTTTTTTTGCAGTCGGACAAGTACTGATTTATCCAGTTGAGCAGGAAATACAGGCAAGCAGGTTCACAGTCTTAATGGAGAGCAGAAGAGACATTGGACAAAGGTTGTTATTAGCTTGATCAGAATCAGAATCTTTACTTAAACCGGAGGCAAATTGTTTTTTTAACAGTTGCTCAACAAAATTCAATTTAGTAAAATAAAATAAAAACTGTATATACAAATAAGAAGGTAGATTGAAAATGTGCAGTAAAAGATCAAATAGAATGAAATGAAAATAGTTGTATAAACAATCATTTCTAATGAAGTTGAATTACAAATGTGCACATTTGACAATATACAACAACCATAAATGTTGTTAAAAAAATGAAAATATAAACTGTGGTGTATTAATGAAAGTATTAATGCTGATGCTCATTATTTTTTAGTATATCTATTTGTAGAGATTAGCAGTACTTATCGGACACAATGTGTGGACAAAGGAAGAGGAATTGCAAGGATGATGGCCAAGAAGGGTCTGAGATAGTCGTAGTTGTGATGAATTGATAGTCACCTCTTGTAGGGGCTGTTTGCAGAGGGGACAGCGCAGGTTGTGGTCCAGACTCCTCTCAATGCAGTTTTTGCAGAAGGTGTGGCCACAGGGAGTGGAGGCCGGCTCATAAAACAACCTTCAGAGGAGAACAACTGAATTTGAAACAACCAGGATGAGGATGGATGCTTGTGCTGCTGGTAAAGTTTATAGTGAGTGATTGTGAGCATACTGTATGTGTGATTAACATTAACCAGAGAGAGAGGAGAATAGGATTAACCTGATTTATGACACTAAGACAGCAATGCATTATTGATTAGAGGGAATAGAGAACACCGACCTGATGCAGAGAGGGCACTCAAAGTCTGACACGGTGAGGACACTCAGAGTTTTCTCCCTGCTGTGACCACTTTCACCTGAAACACAAAGAGAGCTTTATGATGCACGGCTGAGGAAGAACTAACGGTTATTATGCAATTTCAAAGCATCTGGTGGGTGTTACCGCAAAGCTGCTCGTAGCGACAGTGACAAAGAGGATTCATGATGAGGACAATGATGATGAAGATGACAGACAATTTATCACAACGGTGTGTCTGTGTGTACACTGCTGTATGTGTGTGCGCGTACCCCGGCCGTGCCCATCTTCCTTCCTCATCATCATCTCCTCGTCCTCTTCAGCAGCAGGGAGGAAGGAGACAGCTTGGCAGAGGCTGAGGCAGCACTCGGTACCCGTATCATACTTCGCCTTGGAACCCTAAACACACATAGTTAGTCGTTAAAATATCAGAATCAAAAAGAAAATGTCTAGGTAATTGGGTTTTGTTGTGCTTAAATAAAAGATAAAAAAGAAGTAAAAGAAGAAAATACAAATGTTTAAAAACAGAAGGATTTAAAGTAAGAATGTGCAATAAAATAATAAACACAGATAATAATTAGTTAGGATATGATAATCCTATGATATGGTGAGATATGATCAGAATACCTTTTTATTTTGAAAGAAATTAGGTTTTATGTGACTAAAATAAAACGTGAAAAGAAGAATAAAAAAAAGATATACATAAATATTTAAATAAATTAATATATATAAAAAATGAAGAAGTTCAAGTAAGAAAATGCATAAAAAAAGATAAAATATGATATAATTAAGAATTTCATATAATCATTAGCAGTTAACGTAATAAAATGAAGTACATTTTAATTTAAAATGTTATCTAAACGTAAGAAGTTAGGTAAAAATGTGCACATCATACTAATATATATTACATGTGTATTACAAAATATACAGTGGTGTATTAGTATCAGGAAAAAATGAATGCTGAATTTTAAAGTTTAACCCTTTAACTGCCAGCACCACCATTTGGTAGAGCACATTTTGTCTCTTGATATCTTGTTGAAAAAAAAAAATTGGCCTTTTATGGTAAGCTAGCAATATAATTTCTTCAGAGTTTCAGAGATGTTTTCCAATAAAATATGGTAAATAAATAGCGAGATTCATGGTAATATTACTCAATTATGATTCTCAGAGTAAAAGAGTGATAATAATTTATATAGCACCTTTCATGCATGGCATTCGGCCCAAAGTTGCACACAGATGAGCAAGTTAGGCCAACACAGGATATAGACATTTGCTGTTAGGCCAGTGGTTTGTTGTTAGGCCAATTCAGCATATACAGTAAGATGAGCAAGTCTTTTTTTTATCATGAAAAACACTTTACATGACTTTTTTCAATTTTTTTTTTTTTACAATTATAATTTATCATCTTTTATGAATATATCTGATTGTATATATTGCTCGTTTTCCATAAAAGAAACAAATGTATTTGAGTTTGTGTTTTATTTGAGTTTGATGCATACAAATACTGTACTGTATATGATGATTGTTGAAAATGTACTTTTACCATAGAAGGCCAGCTCGACCATTTGGTAGAGGCTCATAAAAACAAAACTGTGTGGTCAGTCAAAAAAAAAAAATTATGTTTGTGCTTATTTGTGGCCCATTTGATAAGAAAATGCAAAAAAAAAAAATTTCCATAGCTTTTTTCTTGGTCTGGCAGTTAAAGGGTTAAAAGGGTTTGCTGATGGCAAAGTAAGTCCTTGTGCCAATGTATTGACTCATTTTTATATGTATTTATTTGCATTCACACCTTCCATGCTTATAGTTAAAGTGCACATAAGAGCTGTTAATATTCTCTCTTAGCTTACCTCGTGTGCCTCTCTCCTCCCTTTTCCCTCTCGATCGTCCCCACATGCCTGTTTGTCAGGGTGAGTTGGCCCCTGGGAGCCACTGAGGCTGGTAATGGGGCAGGTCCCTTTCAGGTACTCGGACACCACTTGCAAGATGCAGGACCCCTCCTCCGGCACTGTCCGTCCCTCTGCCTCCAGAATCTGCCATATGAAAGATGTCATGATAAAAATGAGTAATAGGTATGAATATAAAAGTGTTATTTGTTTTACCCAGTGTTAAACACCAAATCAAATATAACAAAAATGTAAAAAAACATATTTGCAAACATTTGATGCACCCTGCATGTCAAATGAATGTCAATTACATAATATTAAATTATATACTGTTTGAATTCAAAAGTTGTGAAAGTAATGTAACTTCTTACTAACAGGTATTTTTGAACTGGGCTATAAAACTGAATAGTCCTAAAACACAAGTTTAAACCTTAAAGGGGCTCTATTAACCAACAGCTAAAACCTCCAGACTCAGAGACCGTCTTATCCCACAGGCCATAAGACTACTTAATGCCTGAGCTTGCACTATTTTTATTGTTGTTGTTTTTTTAAATGTGTTTTATGTCTTGAATTTGCATTGTTGAGGAACCCGTGACACAAGTTTGTCATTCATTACATGCTACACCGTAGTTGTGTATATGATATGACAATAAACCTTTGAATTGAAAAAATTGAATTTAATATTATGCTTTATGGGTTTCCCTTTCTTATAGTGTGTGCATGCAAACGGTCTGCAAAGGCTAAATTCCCTAAGCTCCCTCCATACGGAGTTTCTCTCCCACACACTCCCGCCCTGCCTGAAAGGCCTCGATTTGACTCCCTTGTTTACTTTCGTAACATAATTACACACTTGCGCTTCAATAGGTTAGCGCTGCAATACATTGTAAGTGATTGGTTAAGGGGCGGGACATCTCTAAGCACTTGACCAATCATAACAGAGCCGGCCAGCTAACCAATCAGAGCAGACTGGGCTCTGGTTTCAGACAGAGGGTGAAAAGAGATGCTGCAGCACAGGCAGTATGAGAAAACATTTTGAACATTAAAGCAACACCACATGTCACAGTAGAGCATACTTGCCAACCTTGAGACCTCAGAAATCAGGAGCATTTCAAAACCGGGGGGGGGGGAGTGAGCAGAGGGTCGAGTTGTCGATTCTTGTTCAGTTTTCTGTGACTGTCTGCCTCACCCTCTCAGACTTGCAGTTGCGCACGCTACTAAAGAGACGCGCTACCATGGAAACCTAACAATGGTGTAGCTTTTGGCAAGTCCGAGTGGAAACAGTCGTGAGTAAATCTGATTTTGTCAGAAATCGGGAGAAATGCGGGAGAAATATGACCCCGGGAGGAAACCGGGAGAGGGCAGTGAAATCGGGAGTCTCCCGCGAAAATCGGGAGGGTTGGCAAGTATGCAGTAGATGTGTGCATGTGTCCGTCTGAATCTGGCACTGCTGCTATTCTCACAGAAAGAAAAAATAAAACAACACATGCAACTTTATCACTATATACAAATGCTACCTAAGCTCTTTGGAATATTAGATCCAATATATTCCAATTTAAGTCTTGGTGTTACTTTCCATTAAGGACCCTTTGATGAGCGGTTACTAAAATCAACACACCTTCTTGATCTGGCTCTTCGCAGGGGCAAAGTCAGCTTGGAGTTTTAGGCAACGGTGGAACTGGATGAGGGCGTCTGTCTGCTGACCCATTTCCAGCAGAACATTCCCTTTACGTAAAAAGCCCTGCAAAAACAGAAAAGGGACATCAGCTCACCACTTCCTGTATGAGTGAAAGAAGTCTCTAAGTCATCAATAACCCAATGTCATTTATATTTATAATCCCCTATTTTTGCTAGAGATAAATGTTTTGAAATTTGAAATGGGATGAGAAATGTGTTGCACACTTCTCAAAAAAACTATATAAATGAATATCCTACAGAGAGCATTGTTGCATATGCAGCGAGCCACCCACTGGCTGAATGACATAATGACATAAGAATCTGTTTGCATAACTTTGTTAATGACATAACATCAATACAAGCAGAGAAAACCGCTTAGCACGCTTAGATTAAACTCTAAAAATACAAGGGCCCACACCTCTTTCTTTGTGGTTATGAGTGTGTTGTTACATGCATGTTACAAAACCAAGAGTGCATTTGGGATGAGATTCAGCATTGAGTTGCACAGGGGGCTGAACTGAAGTAAAGCCCTTGACTTGGTGTTGTTAATGGGTAACTTCAAAAACAGATTATACAAGCGGGAGTAGTGTATATGTTGAACACTGTCAAAGTCACTCACCTCAGTCCAGTTAGGACGAAGGCAGCAGAGGTAGTCGAGGTCTGTCAGAGCATCAGAGAAGTGCATCAGGCCCCAGTTAGCTTCAGCTCGGTACACTTTCAAACTCTGATCATGTGGGACTGAGGATGAAAAACAAACAAAAGAGAGAGTAAAATAAAGAGGTTATATAGGCTCATTTGAACAGTATTTTAAGAGCTGTGGCTTAACGCTGTATAGACTATATTTACACGCCTTTCTACATACAAACATTCAACATTTGTATTCCTTTTACAGAATCAGGATCAGGTTTATTGCCAAGTAGATTTGCACATAGTTATATTATTTAGACTTTAAACAAATAAAGAGACACATTTACACAGAATATAAATATACAAGAAATGTAAGCTAAGTACAGTGAAAATATGACGACAAATACAGTACAATATATTTTAAAGTGGCACATTTTGAATGCTTAAAAAGGAGGAAGTGTTATACTGAAATGTGCAAAATTCAAAATAATTCAAAGATTTGCTCACATGATTGTAATGCATATGTTTAGGACACTTTCAAATCTCAAATATGTTGTATATGCACAATCACTTTATGGCTATGTTTAATTGTGCTTGTGTCTTAAAGGTGGGGTATGTAATTGTGGGGAAACCAGCTCGAGTGCGCTAGAATTTGAAACTACGCAGCCGAAAAAAATCTGCCTCTTCCTTACAGAGCCGCTCCTCCAACACACACTAACGGGCACATGTCAAATGAGGGCACGATACAAAAAAAAAGGAAAAAAAATGAGGGCACGAGATAATCGTTTCCTTATTTTCCAACTATGATATGACCGCAGAAATGTGACAGCTGACACACACAGGCGACAAGTTAGACCAGACTGATGCTGACTAACTTTCTCCAGTGCATCCTTCTTATGCAGCACATTACATGTCATTTGTTAGACGCTTTTTTTGTTCCCACAGGAACAATTTGGGGTGAAGTTTCTTGCCCAGGGACACAACGACATGCTGACTGCAGTGGGACTCGAACTTGCTATCCCTTGATTCGAAGTCCATCATACTATCCACTGAGCCACAGCCTCCAGCACATCAAATTAGTTTCTCTTCTGGAAAGGGGGGCATTTGGATACTTGTTTACAGTTATATATTTAGGTCATCAATCGCTTTATATTGTGAATACAAGGCATCAGGATCTGTGTTTGAACCACCAACTTTTCTGTTTTCTGTCATAACACCTCCTGTGTCTCACTGCTGTGCAAATTAGGACTGGACAGCAGAATGGGATGCACCATCTGTCACCAGCACTGGGCACAAGCCAAACCTGTGAGCAGTGCGTAAAAGTAGGACTCTGAACTGTCTGCCTATACTTAATCCTGGGAAATTGTTAATACAAGCAGTGCCGCAGGCTTAGGTTGACACAAAAAAGCAACAAACGCACTGTATTGTTGGTATGGTGTTGTGCATGTGTCCCTTACCTAAGTGTAACCCCTCGTTGGCGATGCGTAAAGCTTCCGTGAAGTCGTTGGATTTGAGCTTCTCCTGTACTTGGTACTTGGTCTTTGTCTCGTCGGGGCAGCACTTCTCGATAACGCTGATGAGCATGATGTTGTTCTTCATGCTTTTCACGTCTCTTTGTTTTAACCTCTCTTTGCACACCGGGCATTTGGACGGCAGGTAGCCCCCCACGCACCTCCGGCAGAACGTGTGGCCGCACGCCATGGTCACCGGCTCGCACATCAGGAAGAGGCAGAGCGGACACTCCAATATATCCATGGTGGCTGGGTTATGTCACCGAAAAAAAACGTCCCACGGGAAAATAGGTTGCTTTTTTTGGCAAAGCGACGAGGGCTGCTAGTCTTGTCTGTGAAATAGTATTGCATGCACCACTTAAATAACAGACTGACAACTAACGATCCAGTTAATGTGTCCCTTAATTCTCCGATCACATCTGCTCGAACCCGACCCGGTTTCTGTCTAGCTAAGCTTCTGCTAATAAAGAGCTATTATATACTCTTATGCTTACCCTACACATTCCCTTTGCAGACAAATATGTATCTATTATATACTCTTATGCTTACCCGATCCATTTCCAGCACTAACTTACTCTTCGGTTTGGGACACATTACGTCTTTCCCGTTCAACCAGGTTGAATAAAACAAAACGCTTTCCTCGCCACTCCGAACTCCACAAACGCAACGCGAACCACACCAGAATATTTTCATATTAGTAGTCTTTCTTTTTAGTAGTCCGTGTCCGCGTTTAACCCCTGTAGCGACGTATCCACGGCCACAAAACGGGGTTACTGTGTTACACCATTACTTACATAAATAAAGACCACGTGACGCAGCAGCGCGCCATCCGATTGGATGAAAGGAGGGCTCTCTGCCCTGTTGTGAAACCAAGGATGCCGAGTTTCATAACATAATGCCTGCGACGAAAGTTATTGGGTTTCTTTCGGTATAATTAACACATCTGGGAGGTATGTTGTAATCTGACAATGTCGTGAATGTAATCACAGTATTTTTTATAATTCAAGTCAAGAGTGCAGTAGGCCTATATGGAAAATACCCTGTCGCGGTGTAGGGAATCCCAGCAGAGGATAATCGGAAGGGGGGGGGGGGTGTTCATCCCCAGATACTGCTTATATACCCGAAAAATTAGGCCACGTGTAGAATGGCTAGAAAGAGCTGACAGAGCCTAGAGGTGCAAACAATATGCTCTGAGTTACTGTTCCTTGCAGTTTTACTCATCACTCATGTGTTAGATAAACTTCTGCAAATCTGTTACAAGTCATTGCATGTCAGGTGGTGGGACCTGTCTCGTAAATATTTGGGTCAGAGCAATCAGGCCAAAAGACATACATGTAACAGTAACACCATGCTTTATGTAGTATGTACATAGAGAAACACATAACATTTACCTTATGTAGCCGACCATAGGGGTAAACCACTTTTCGACCACCGTAGTATTGCGCTACAGAGGTACCGCCCACCTCCGCATTCCCTTCACTTGGTAAACAATATTTAAACAGCTGATACCGGTGTAGATGAATTCATAATAAATTGTTGTTTTTACTGGTTAAAGTATTGTTTGTAAATGTGTATGATATTGATAAATACATATCATATACTCTTGGGAGAAAATCCTTGTCTTGGACCTTTTTGTTGACTGCCAACTGTATCGTGTTTCTTTAAATTGAATCTGTGGAGTTTTTGCTGTTTGATACATTTGAGTTAAAGAGCCAATTTGATCTTTAGAACAGCTCAACTTTAGGCCGTGTGCACGGCCGCGGTTACACTTACGTGGAATACAAATTTGGAGCACATCTACCCAGTCATGGCAGTCAATGAATCATTTCAGTATGTAAAAGGATAGATTTTCTTTTTTTTTTAAATCAGTTACTTGTCTTTGAAGTAGTAAAGGTCTTGGGCCTAAATACATGTGTTATTTACCTGTAAATAATGTAGCATCCATATCCCTCGGGTCATCTCCAAGGTCTAATGAATGTATCCAGGATCAAAACCAAGTGAGGTGAAGCAACTTTTATCTTCCATGCTCCCCACCTGTGGAAAAAGCATACTGAATACCATAGGTTTTGTCATATAATTCAGGGCTTAAACACTTATTACAGCGACTTACTAATAAATGATTTACTTAACTTTTGTTTAAATGTGTTACTATTATTGCTTTTGCATTTAAAAAAAAAATGTTTCTCTAACTACATATGTTTGCTCTTGTTATTATTTTATATTCAATGTCTTCTTATCATTCTTTATTAAATATTTCGCTTTGCCACTTTAAGTTTGAATTAGCTTTAGTGTGCAAGCTTTTCTTCCCCATAAATCATTTTTTACAGGATTCAAAAGGAGGTATTTTTGAATATTGTTAATGTACCCGGGAAGGATTTGGCTTTGTGTTGAAATGAAAACAGTTCCATGAAGAAAGCAACATAACAATGTTCACATTATAAAAGTGCTTTAACAAAATGCAAAAAGGCAAGGGCTTTAGGAGGACTGACTATACAACCATTTTCTCTTAAAACATTGAGTTTAAATGAAAACAGCATGTCACTCCCACTGCAATTGTAATTGTCTTTATTGATTTTATTAAAAAAACTGAAAGTTCTCACCCAAGTTGGTCTGCTTTATATTTACAATGCTCAATATCCACACAGAAACGGTTAATAATATCTACATAATGGCTTTTAAATAAAACACCATTCACTTCCAGTTAGGACTGCAGTCCAGGTGAAAACACACCAAACGTTTTCATATACTTGCTCAAAGTACAGCATACAAAAAAAACAACAAACACAGTTTTGGTGTCGAAAAAAAGCATGACTACTTGACGGAACACTTAAGCGATTTCATCAATAATACTGCACATGGCAGCATCCTTGTCCCACATTTTGTCCCTCTTTGCAGTAGGGACGCTCTTGTCCTGGTGACTTGCTGCCATACAGCTAGCCCCTGCTTCCTCTACATCCATCGGTTCTGTGTTCAGCCTGGGGGCCTGTCCAGAGGAACAAACCACACTAGGGGCTGCAGACACACTCCTTGTCCCATCACTAGCACCATCCAGGCCCTCTATCTGTGGTAAGTCGTCGGGTAGAGAGGCAAGGCACCCCTGGATCATCTCCACCACCCTCTCCAGATGTTTCTGGAACCTCTCAGCTGTCTCCAGTCTCTGTCTCTTCTGCACCTCCATCATCACCCTCAGCGTCTCCCTGGCTTGATGTGGCCTGTACTCGTTTATCAGGTGGTGCATATGAACAAACAGAAGCTTCAAGTCCTCCAGCTTCTCCTCACGCTTTATACTGCCAGGGCTTTTAATGAGGATGTCCAGCAGGTCCAGAAAGTTCACAAGAATAGACATGTTGAGCTTTTTAAGCTCCCGTTTGTGGTCAAACTGCATAGGATGGAGCCTTTCAATTCCTTGGCTTTCAAGTGGCCGGATGATGAGGTCGTCACACTGGAACTGGTTGCCAAACATCATGTAGTTGTCCCTGATGGGTGGAGGTGGCTTAGGAGCCATACCATTGCGAATGTTTTCATCCGTGTACTCTTTGATGTACTGCATAGGTGGAGGAGGCAGGGCACTAACCTGCTGTGGTTCACCCATTATGCTGGCCTGAAACGTCAACGAAAAGAATGTCAAAAAGGCTGTTTTCCAAGTTACATGCAAATAAATGTTCATAAGTGCATATATCCTGTGCAACAGTCAAGTGCTTATTGTCTACTACACCATTAGGTGAGTACCAAGAACACAACATAATTACAGACAATTGCGATATTCAATTCTCAGAGTATTGATATCAGTATTTTATTTAATAGTTATTGCTGTGGCCAGTCCAGTGGTTTATACAACGTTCATTTTGGGTCTTTTAATTAACAGTGATGTGATGCGTTTCATGGGCTTCTTCTGTTTTGTATGTGAATTATAATAATTTCTAAACGAACCGGTAATTGTAGCTGTAAAAAACAAAGAATAACCTTAACTACCCTACATGGTGTGGAGTAAAATAATGATATTGATTAATTGTAACGTTAGCAGTAAACGCATCTTAACAGCCTTTTCATAATTATGTTCAACCACTAGTTTCCAACCCTGGATAAAGCTTCTCTGTACAAGTTTTTGTTATCAATCAGTGCAACATATGGCTGCTTCCACTCGCAGCAGCGTCGAGATCTTCTTATATATAATCTAATGTGATCATGCTAAAAGCAAGTTGTCAATGGTTGGTAACGTGTAACAAGCGAGCAGCGCAAGTAACGTTTGCGATTAACTGTCTCAACAATTGGTGAGCAGATATTATCATTCACTAGCTAAACATGTGTTAACATTGTAAGTGTGTTGCTCATCAGTTAGCAACCAGGCGTAATCGTTAGCTGAACCATTTATATTTAGAGAAAAAATTACGTAGCTAGCTAACTAGCTATGCAGGCTAGCAGTGGACAGTACTTGTGCTAACCTCTGCTCACTAGCTTAATGACTGCGGTATCACACTCTAACAAATGAAGGAAATGAAAACATCGATAACACTTGTACAAACCCTTTAAATGGCTGCTCAGTTGCTGGAAGTAGACTTTACGTATTAAATGTCACCAAGTTATCAAATTGAACATGTAACTTTTAGCTAGCCTTACGTTCACTGACATGGAGGTTCTGTCATTGGCTGAACGTCTTCTTCTTCTTCTTCTTGTTCTTCCCATGGTTTCATGGCGGGCGGCCACCTATCGTATGAGGCTCATTACCGCCACCTACTGAGCTGGAGTGTGGATAGTCAAACGCTTAATGTGTGATGTATCCTATGGATGTATCACTTACTATGATAGTAATAGTAAACAACAGTTATCGTGATGTTTTTATATATTTTACACAAGAAAACATCACCAGACATATTTAAAATAATATTTATTCACAATAAGTGTAGAAAACAGTCAGGAGACCATTTATTTTTTAAATGATTTTGGTTGCACCACACTGTGTAATAGTAAGGTAATTAAACATTTTACAAAACATTTACCAAAATATACAAATATTTGTACCCCTTCTAATGACATATATCTCAATTTCATCAACAAATGTGATTTAGGCCAGTACTCTCCTGGCGCTGCCGTAAGCGTCAACCTGTTTTAGAAGATCTAATTTTACCTTTTCTTGTCTTTTCCCAATTTTGTTCTCCTCTTACCATATATTGTACTTAGTTTTAATTGAAAGTGTTGGGACACAGATTTCCAACTTGTGTATAATTGGTAGGATTTTTTTATATATATATATAAGGCCATTTAATTAATTTCTTGTTTTAACAGTTACTTCCAATCTGTACTGTCCTCCAGTATTTTTCTTCACAGCGTAAAAATCCATTGTTGTTTGAAGTGATAATCAACAACTTTCCTTACATAACCAAACAATCACCTACAATATTATGTCTCAACTTTTGACTATAATAATTGAGAGTGGAAAGCGAGTTTTCACAAGTGCTTTACAAAAGCAGAGATAGACATTGGGGGTTAATCAAATTATATTAAGGCAAAACAACAGGATTTACTACTAAACACCTATTCAAAATCTTCATTATTGATGCAGAAATGCAATAATTACCTTGTATTGCCTGGATTCTAATATTCAGTTTAAATGCCCAAGTCATTTTGTTTTCTAGTATATTTGAATTGATCAATAACTTATGTTTTTTTTAGGGAAATCTAGTGTAAATTCTAAATATTTTGTTGACTTAACACCCCTGTTAGATGTTTACATTTTGTTCAAACATTGTCCCAGCATCAGATTTGGAAAAGGTTAAAAAGTGTAGAGAACAAAGATGAATCCTTGTGTTGCAAACACACTGACTTGTTGCAACATAGTCTAAAGTGAAAGTTCATGTGTGCACTTGTATGGTTTGTGTGTGCGTGTAATGTGTGTCTGTGTGTTTATACAAAAGCACAACCCATTTCATGCCGTAAGGATGTGGTTCACCTAGTGCAACAACTTTATTCCGGAAGCTCCACGGCAAGTGTTAATCCACACTTTTTTCTTTTTTCACTGCTTGGCACTCAATCACTCTCCGTACGGCAAAAGCCAGCACGGTTTCTCACAGTGTTTTTCATAGCTGTTACCATGTTTCCCAGGGTGATTTTGAATGGAACTATGATTAAAAAGTCTCAACAAAAGAAGAGAACTTCACCATGCAACTACAAGGAGAGGTTTTTTGTTTTGGACACCCAAGAGCTGAAGTATTCTGAATGCCGCCATGGCGTAAGTATTCATTTAACCCATGAGTAATCTGGATTTAAATGTGGAATTTACAATCTGGAGGCTGAGTCTGTAAATTGTGGTTCAGGGAAATCAGCTATTATTTGCACACATAAAGTTAAGATGATGCTTTTATTCTTTTCAGAAAAAGCCCTTGCAGAAAGGTTGCATTGAGCTGTCCAGAATTAAGTGTGTGGAGATTGTGTGTAGTGATTCCCCAATACCTTGCAATTACAAGTACCCTTTTCAGGTGAGGTTACACAGAATATTTCAAGTGCTATATGTAGCAAGTATGATGTAAGCATGTAGTACAAAACACAAGAACAAAAATACTATTTTCTCAAATGCAAATGTTTCCTCAGGTTTTTCACAACAACCACTACTTATACGTTTTTGCCCCAGACAACGATTGCCGTCAGAGATGGGTCAAAGCTCTCAAAGAGGGTAAACAATTCGACAAAATCCTGTTTCAGACAACAACACTGAAGAAACTGAAAAATGGACTCCAATTATGTCAACGCATTTCACATAACTGTATTAGGTTAGTTGAAAGCAATATTATTAAGTTTAAAAAGCTTCAACTTAATATCATTGCTTTGAACTAACCTCATACAGTTATGTGAAATTTGTTGACATAATACACTTAATTAAAGAAAACGTTTCAGTTTTTTCAGTGAATGACGGTGCAACCCATTATGGTGAACACTTGATTAAAATTCACAAGATGTCAACTTAAACCGTATTTCTTTAATTGTCTCTGATATAGAGACAAAGCATAACAGTTTGGTTGAAAAATACCACCCAAACTTCTGGATGGAGGGAAAATGGAAATGTTGCCAACAAACAGAAAAACTGGCGACAGGTTGTCATGTGTATGACCCATGGGGTTTTGGTTTGTATTATATCTTCACTTCTCTTGTTTTGCATATGCGTATTTGAAGCTCAACATGGCCCTTAAATGGACCTTGATTAGAAGTGTTACATACTTAGCATTCTACAATTTATTTGTGTTTTAGGATGTACTAAATACATTCAAATGTCCTTTTTCTAATTCAACAGCTTCTAAAAAGCCTCTCCCTCAACTCCCAGATCCAGAGGTACCATTTTAAATCATGAAGACCATGTGCTGCCAATGATTTATTCTTGTTTTAGTTTATTCTCTTCAAATTACATGGGTTAGGCAAAGTCATGTCTTGGGTTTACTTTACCAATTGCATATTGGTTTGTTTTTCTGTATTTCTAAATTGCCTGACCTCCTGTATAATACATTTGTGTTGTATAACACAACATGGTAATTATTACATTTAACAAACCCAAGTAGAATTGTGAGGATTTTCGTTTCGTTTCTGAGAGTCTGTTTCTTTTGGCTGGTGACATGCATTTTTTTCTTAAGAAAAACATAAACAGCTAAAGCATTTTGTGTTTTTTGAAATACTCATCCTCAAAATATATGTTGCTTGAACTAAATAATTGATTACTTTGGAATTCATTTAGCTCAGTCTTTCAATCAGTTTTTTTTTGTTTACTTGGATACATTTCCTTTTATTATTACTGCCAGACGGAGACGCATGACGCATCAGATCAGAGAATGGTCTTTGCCCTGCAAGACTACAATCCGGTCAGAAACGATGAGTTGTTCCTTCAGAAGGACCAGGCGTACACCGTGATTAACAGCTCCACCTCTAAGTGGTGGGCCGTGCAGGATGGAAGGGGGTAAGCCACATACAAATGCCCCTCTTGAGCTTAGTTACACATCTGAATAATTCCCCTTTTTATAGTTAGAATGATAATGAGTGTATGATTAATGAATCATTTTTCCTTACACCTTTTCAGCAACACTGGCTTTGTACCCAGTAATTACCTAGCTGAAAAAACTGGCAACAACTTTCAGAGATTTGAGTGAGTTTGATTTATTTCTCTGCTCGTTGCTTCAATTTAAAATGTGGGCATCTGCAAAGCGATTATGCCGTTTATAAGATCAATTTATTTCTGGTTAATTTGTTTTCTCGCAGATGGTACAATAAAAACATGACCAGAGGGGAAGCAGAGACTTTATTAGTGAAACAGGTAAAACAAATTGCCAGTGTTTAAGAATCAAATAATTATTCGATTTTCATTTGTTTATGCTTGCGGCCATGTTTTGACAGAAGAAACATGCTCCAAGTTCTAATGGTAATTAGCACCATGTTGCCTCCCGTGACACAGTGCACTTTAGCTGTGACTGTGCCACCCACGGCATTATTGCATTTTGCAAAGAATAATGCAAATGCACCTGCACATCAAGAATGTGAGAAGACATGGGAAGTAAGAAGATGTCTCGACACAACCACAGTCTTTCCTCCAATTTCCTGCCTTGTTGTGCTTTGCTAATTTTGCAAGCTGGAGTTAAAACAGCAAATCTTCATCTATTCATAAAAATGACTGCTGGTATTAGCTATAGATTAAACAAACAACCAATTCATATGTCTAACAATTTACATTTGTTGTTTCATTTCTAATATTTGTCTACTTTTAAGGGAAAAGAAGGTGCATTTATGGTGCGTGACTCAAGTCATGTGGGAGTCTACACTGTTTCAGTCTTCACCAAAGCACCTGGGTAATCCTCCTTAATGCATATTTAACTATAAATAATGTCATTTGATCTATTGATAATAATGATGCTCAATATATGTATACTGATATATTTGGTGACATGAATCTATGTTCTATATTTAATAATATCTCGCCACGCCTGGTGTATATTTAGAAAGAACATAACATCAAATCAATGTCCTTTTTCCTCATCTTGTTCTGTTTGTCGTAAGTTGTTGTGAACATATCCCCCTTTGGGAACTTATGGGACAAAAAAAAAACCATCTCTTTATTTCCTCAAGGTCTAAAGGTGAGAAGACTCCGAGAGTTATACATTATCATATTAGACAAACAGAAAGGGGAGAGGCTGCATTTTACCTGGCAGAGAAGTACCTGTTCACCACCATTCCTGAGCTCATCCACTACCACCAACACAATGCTGCTGGTAAGTTTGCTGGCTTTCCGCATTCAACAGTTATAAAAACAAGATCAATTTCCAAAAGGAAGTTTCATACAATAACAACTGTCAAAATAATATGTTTCCCTTAGTTGTTTTGTAAAAAGATGATGTGTATTCATATTTTATAATCTGTGTGGCAGGCCTGATAACACGTTTGAGACACCCTGTCTCTCAGGATGGAAGCTGCTCTCCGGACATTGTTGATCCCTCCAAAGGTAGGAGGATGTTCTGTTGTGAAAACCGGATAAACTACAGCTCAAAACAATTATGACTTAAATGCTGAGGTTCTTGTTTTTGCCGACCTCTTGTGGTAATCACAGAAGAGTACTCAGGGTGTGTTCAGTTCTCCCTTTGACTCTTTGGTGTTCTGCAACAACTCAGAATTATTTGATCATAACACAAAAAGCTAATCATTGTGTACTTTGTTTTTATTTCCTATAAGTGTATATATATTGTTATTATTTTAAGAACAAAACAAAAAA